ATTATACCTCGGTTTTTTTGGTTGAGATGAAAGCTTTGTCATGAAATTTATTATTTGTAGTAGTGTCTCTTATCTTATATGTGGGGGTTTGATTCAACCGTTTTCCCATCTCTATCACTTTTGAGTATCTTTGTGTATTTAGTATAGGATCTTACAGTGGTTTGTTAGCATGTAGTTATTCCTAATGACTATATACTCCATTTTGAGTATTTCACGTGGTAGGACAAAGGTGGTTTTGCTATAATTTGGCATGTTGTTGCCTAATCTCTTTGGAGAGTTCATGATGATGTTATCTTTAATGGCTAACCCACCCCCCATCTGGCTTGTTTTGTTAACAGCCATAGCACACTTTGGTTTGGGCCTCACCCCAAATCAATTTCTTAAGCCCATTTTATTTCTTTCTTTTTTTTTTAATTTGTTCTTCTTCTTATATTTTTATTTGTTAACAAATTACTAACATAACTTAAAGTATTTTATTAAATTGATTTAATTTTTTGTAAGTTAATTTTTATCATTTTGTTTTTTTATTTAATTTTGTTTTAAATTGATATGATAAAACACCAAAATTAATAACTTAGTTTATTTATTTTTCTTTAGATTTTACATAATTAATAAAAATACAAAAAAATAATAATAAGGTTTTTAATTTAATCAATTTTAGAATAGGTTTTATTTTTATTTTTCATGTAAATACATTTCATTTCATACTTTGTTGATTTTATTTTCATAAATTGTCATAGCTTTATATTAAATCGCACAAAAATTCGATTTGGTTGTATTGTTTGATATTTGGACATTGCTATTTTCATTTGATTCATCCCTATTTGTAACAATTGTACCCCCATTCCTGAATACTTTGTAATAGCGTAGAATTTCAATTCCCGCAATTTACTGTTTTCCATATACTGTATAGTAACTAGGCATGTATGTCAAGATTCAAAAATCAATCGCTAGATGACCTAATCAAAGAATAAATAACTTGAAACCAACACACTTTCTCACACGCGCACCTCTAGGGTAACCTCGCTCGTTGCCTCGAAAATACAATCATGTCCCTCAAATATGAGACACTATAGCAATGACCCTTCAATAAAAAATAAATAAAAAAGATCGTAGTCCCTCGATGACCCTTGATATTGCCTTCGATTAAAACGATCCCGTCCCTTATAAAAATTGCTAAAGCGTCTCACAAGTTGCCTTCAATGATTGTAAAAATTGACCCGCGCCCGTCCTTTCACATTCAATGGTGGGGCTTCTTACCAAATCAATGGTAAGATAGCACCATTAAAAGGAAGAAGAAAAGAACAACTTAAGACCTTTCGAGTAGATAGATTCGCTCTTAGTTACTCGCTTGCTCACGACAAAAAACTTTTACACCTACACCACCATTTCAAAACATTTTCAAAAATACAAAAACGTTTTGTATACGTTCTTATAGAGACGAGAACCATTGCAAAACCTCTTTTCAAAACACTTTTCAAAACACGATTCACAAACACATCTTTGAACCACTTTTTCGAAACAAAACTTTGTATACGTTCTTATAGAGACGAGAACCATTACAAAGAGATTTTTAAAAATACTTTCAAAGCCCACACCACAAGCACACAATCAAATGTAAGCAAGTGATCTAAAATGAGTAACTAAGAGCCCATGGAAAACCATGGATGAAAAGGGTGCTAATACCTTCCCTTTTCATAATCTACCCCCCGAACCCGAGAAAATTCTCGAAAGGTATTTCCTGTGCTTTTTTACCTTTCCTTTTGGATAAAAGAAAAGTCGGTGGTGACTCTTGCTAACCGCACAAGTGCGAACGAAACGCAAAAATTCAAGTCAGTTCTCTCACCGCATCACAATGACTGTATGATGATCCGCACCTATCCCTCAAAACATCCAACGATAGGGCTTCCTACTAACCAATGATAGGATAACACTATCTAAAGGAGGAGGAAAAGAACAAAAGACTTTTTAGTAGGTAGATAGTTCTTAATTTTCTGATCAAATAAATATTTTAGAACACAAACCTTAAACACAAATAATTTTCTGCTCTTACAATCTATCATTGAGATCTTTTCATGGCAAATCCTCTTGAAAACCTTAAAGTGGTGGATGTAGATAGTTTCAAGCGCTTCATGATGTTTCATATCAATTTTTGATATTCAAAATGTTTTTATAATCGAAGTTTTTATGTTTCACGCAGATCACTAATGGTAGTGTCTTGAGCGTTGATACTCATGAAATTGATGATAAAGATTTGTTTAAGGACGGTGATCAATATCCTCAATGGTCACGCTAAATTATCTCACCCGTTTGGACAAAAGTCTAGGTAAAATATTTTTACCATCTGATTTTAGTAAAAAACCGAGGTAAATAGGCTTTTTTTTAAACATTACATTATTTACGCAGAATATTAAAATACATAGATTATAAAAAATCAAGATTCATCATCATCATTGTTATTCTAGATTTTGTTGCATATCTTATAGGCATCCAACTTCTAATATTTTTAAAGGTCGAACTCCCTTTGTTTAACTTGAAGCATGAATGATTTTCTGCACTTGCAATCCATCATAGAGAATTTTTCCAATCTTCTTTAACTTGAAGCAAAGATTTCATTATCTTGAGCAAATGCTTTCACAAGAAAGAGAATAAAATACATAGTGGTGGATGAAATAGTTTGTTGTGGATTGATTTCTTAGAAATATCTTGAGTGTTGTTCCTTTATGAATATCGGATAGAGATTCGTTGTTGTAGCTGTGTAACAAGACCCCTCAGTTTTATTAAAAACCCAAGGGGAAAAATATTTTCTTTTTAAATAATAAAATAAAATAAGGAAACTCGTAGGTTCTAGTAAAAATTCGAGGTAATAAGTTTCAAGATAAAAATGGTGAATGATAAAGAATTGAATGTAATATGTCATGTTTCAATTTCATTTTTTTATCAATCACTATTTTTTACAGCATGTTTGGGAATACATTTTTCAATATTGTCAACCGAGAAAACCAATGTTATTTTCTTTGATTGACAACATATAATTATTATTTCGAAAATACAACAACAATATTATTATGTGAGATAGATTGCAAGAGCAGAAAAAATATTTTGTTCAAGATAAAAGAACACAGAATATTGAAGATTTTTCTGTCTTGCAATCTATCCCAAAGAACAATGCATATGAGTTTGAGTGGCTACATATAAGTTAGGATTAGGGTAAAATCTATTTAACGAGTGTTTTTATAGTAACATCTTATTATTTTATCCCTAAATTATTACAAAAATTGGAGGGATAGTTCAATTAGCTTACACTTATAAAGAAATGAAAACATAAACTGCAATAGCTAGGGTTTGAAGCATGTCCTGAATTATTTTTCCCCTCGATTATTATTAAAAACTGAGAGAATATGTGGTATTTATTTTTTATTTTAAATAATACATGGCGCACATTGTCATTATACCTCGGTTTTTTTGGTTGAGATGAAAGCTTTGTCATGAAATTTATTATTTGTAGTAGCGTCTCTTATCTTATATGTGAGGGTTTGGTTCAATTGCTTTCCCATCTCTATCACTTTTGAGTATCTTTGTCTATTTAGTATAGGATCTTACAGTGGTTTGTTGGCATGTAGTTATTCCTAATGACTATATACTTCATTTTGAGTATTTTACGTGGTAGGACAAAGGTGGTTTTGCTATGATTTGGCATGCAGTTGCCTAATCTCTTTGGAGAGTTCATGATGATGTTAATTTCAACAGTAGTGAATAGAGTTGAGGAGAAGTGGACTCTTGTACTTTCTTTTATTGACTTCAAAATATTATCATTTATCTTATTCAATAGCAAATTGAGTGTTTGTCTTGATTTTAGTCGTCTCAAACTCTTCGAGAATCTATGAAAGTGAGTCGAAATGTAACTATGGAAAGACAAATAGAAAACTTATTTAACTATTTAACTAAGTGTAACCATTTTTTTTTCTCTGATAAGCACTTGTATTAATAGTACAAAGGGTGCAACACAATACAAAAGAAAAACAATCAAAGAAAAATAAGGTACAAAGACCCAAAAGCCACCTTAAACACCAATATACATACAAGGATTGGCATACCAAATCTCTCTAATACAATCTCCCATACCCTAAAGATCAATATACCAAACTATGTGTAATCATGACAAAAAGTGTACGTGACCCTATTTAGCCATGGTTTTACAGTGACAATTTTGGACCATATACAGCAACCCTTCTTGCTTGCCTTTAAAAACGTCCTAGAGGTTGAAATTCATCCACTAATGGTGATTTTGACTTCTAGCCGGAGCCCTTGGGGTGAGATTTCTAGACTTTGCAGTTTTTTCTGTGAAATCCTTTTGATCTTTAACTGCTATAGTACTTCTTTGTTGATGTGGTCTTTAGCACTCCTTCTGCTAACTTATAACCTCATTTTTTAACTTTAGTAATTTACACTTCACTATTAATACATTATTTTGGTATTTAAAAACTTATTTTTAAATTAAGAAAATAAAAGCCAGAATTTTATTTTCAAATTCAACTTAAAAATTTTATTTTCAAATTCAACTTAAAATTTTTTAAAATAAAATCGAAAGCCATTTTAAAATATAGATTAAAAAGTATCCAAAGAGTTATACGCATCATATAACATTTTATATGCTATATTTTCTAGTTAATACTACTAATATAGAAACGTTGAATTTTTGGTTCAATTCCGATTTTCATCACTGTAAATTTTATTCATATATAATAAAAAAACTTATGCGGCGTTTAATGAAAGCTCTTGTTAATTCCCAATCTCTTGTAACAGTACGTATCATTGCATATTTATTTCTTGTCCATAATTGATAATTTAGAAAAATGCTCATATGAGCACTTGCACGAGGAAAAGAAAAGAAGTACATGCCACAAATGGTTTTTAGAAACTAACAAAAATTAACATTATATTAAAACCAAATTAAACTACTAAATAACTTGAGATGCTTCATGATAATTAATTTATAATTATCCCATTTTGTAATTATTAACACTTTCACTTTCACTCAGAGAAGAATGCTGTTGATCCATTAAACTCATGACCATTAATCTTCTCTTCTTGTAATTAGCCTTGAAACATGCTTGTCTAAGTCTTTTTGTATTTTCTTCGAGTTGCAAATCTGGTTTTTCCTCTACCATCTTCATTTCTTTCTTCAATATTTCCACAGCATTCATTATTTTTTCATCACTCTCATTTCCCTGCTCCTGCACCACCAACATTTACTTAGAAAAAAAATATATAAATATAAAAATAATTTTTACTACTATCTAAAATTGACATAACAACAAATCCGTGCTCAACTAGCAAAAGCTGATTGTACTAGGTTGGACGTTAGATAATTTAAATCCTAGTCATATGTTTATGTATACGAGTTTCAAGTAATTATTATCACTTCATCTACCCATAAAAATAATAACAATAAAATTATGGACCAAAAACTAGACAATTTGTATTTTATCAACTCAAAGATAAATTAGAACTTACTTGAACATTCTTAATAAGGGTTTGAAGACTCATTAGTTTCCTATGAGGCCACCTTTGGATTCCAAGATCCCTACACCTTTTCTTCAAATGTGTAAGTCCAACATTAAGCTCTCTAGCAGCTTGTGATATTGGCATGTAGAAATACTCAGAAATATTCTTCCTTGTTAACATTCTTGCACTATTATTATTCTCTTCTCTACATCGTTTACCCTTCACATTTTCCGTTGCATTATTTTCTACAACATTGTTGCTAATAGAAAACACATTTTCATCCGAATATAATCCAGCATCAATTTCACTCCATGTTAAAATCTCATTTTTAGCATCACAAAAGCCATAATCTGCATGAAATATATATAGTACAATTTTATAGTTATTCATTAACAAAATAATAGAACACACACACATATATAGTAAATAAATAACCTTGTATGCTTATCTGAGTTGATAGTTCATTAGGAAAAGTTTCATATTGATATTCAGGATGATAATATTCCTTGATGGGGATAGCATCAAAACAGGTATCTTGCATGGGAAATCCATAATGTGACGACCAATCTTTTGAAATATAACCATCACTTGAGTTTCCTCTGGAAAAGAAATATTTCAATGAGAAAATTGAAGCATTATAAAGAACTTTTAAAGAATAAAAGAAGGAACTGCTAATTTTAATATTTTTTTACCTGTACAGAAAATTATTATTATTATCATATGAAGATGATGGAAAAGGAGGAAGAAATGGATCATAATCTTGCATTGCATGATCATATTTCCAAACAGGGAGTTGATCAATATTCTCCATGATGAAGTTGGCAATTAAGTGTGGAATACGATATGATTGAAGAAATTACTGGTTAATTTATATTTGAAATTAAGAAAGTAAATTTATGATAATGATAATGATAAGTGTTTAGGGTCATTAAGTTTTGGAGAATGTGGGCGGCAGAATTTATTGTTTAACGTGTGAGCTACTGTGAGTTACAAGATATGAATTAATCAGTTACTAAATCATACCCTATCCATTAAGCATGTCTATTATGGAATTTAATTTAATATTAATTACATTTACATCTCTTTTGGATTCAATTAATCATATATTTTACTATAAAATACATTAAAAATAATTACTTGTAATTCAAATAATATTAATTAAAAAGTATGATGAACAATAAATAATTAAAATGAAAATTAAAAATTAAAAATTAAAAAATTCTGATAATTTAGCCTTAAGAAATACTCCTATGAGATAACGGGAATTTCGTATCTAGCCGTCAAGATATCATCAAAAACTATTGACTTCAAAAATCATCTACCACCTCAATTTACCTGATAAAACTAAATCAACTAAGCGAAGACATTATTTAATTTAATAATTTTGTTAATCAAACAAAATAGAGTCAGAGAAAATTTTGCACAAACCACTTATATAAATTATTAAAATCAAATTGAAAAGTATTTGAAGGGTTATACGTATCATCACAAACTTATATGCCATTTTCCGGTAAATAATATGGATAGAACCATTAAATTTTTTGGTTCGAATCCAATTTTCATCGTTGTAAATTTATAAACCAAAAAATAAAAACAAAACCTTATGCGGATACAAGAGATTGGGAATAACCCTTTGCAAGAAAGAACCAAAAAGTTTTATAGTTTTATATGAAAATGACATATAAATTAGGAATTTCGTTTTACACTTAATAGTTGTGATTTTCACCACCATCCAAAATTATTCTTAAGATATGCACATCCAAACACACCTCTCGGCATGTCCAAAAATATCATTTTTAACATGTTTTGATATTTAAACGTTGAATGTAAAATTTTAGAGGTTGCTTCGGATATGCACAATCGAAACCACATGTACAAATATTTTGAATATGCATATCTGAAACTTTCCCTGTTTGTGTCATTTTTGTTTAAAACTACACCAATGCAGATATTTTATAACCAGACAAATATTTTGTGATTTTTTTTGAAAATATGAAACGAACATAACAATACGGACATAACGATTAGATTAGATGTCCAGACACAAGGAAGCATAATTTTGTACATAAGTTGTTTTGAAAGTGCGTAATATCAAAATATTACATCGGTAACAAAAATAATAATACATAACATAAGCTACTGCTAATGCGAATGCCTAATCCTAACCCCTTGTGACATCCTTTGCCTCCTATACTACGTCGCACTATATGCCTCCCTAACATCCTCTCAACGATGACAACCACCTCAGGACCGCCCATCTCAATAATCCCAGCATCCAATGCCTACTGCCCAAATAGGTGGATGCTCTGACAGATCGGCAAAAATATTAGTGGCATGGTCATCCTCGGCCTGTTGGTTCTCCAAGAGCTCCTCATGAGTTGGCCTAGGTAGACGGCCAGGACCATTCGGTGTCATGATAGAGTGTGACACGTTAAAGAACTATGTCACGTAACCCTTTGCACAATACCAACTCTGGGATGCCGACATCATCCGATACTCCTGTGGCACCAACTGATTCTCTTAATCCTGTAAGATGCCATTAAGATCCTTCCGGACCATGGTGTCAAGAGCATCCTGAAAAGGAGATCTCAGTATCTTCTGCACATAGCCAAACTGTCGGATACATCATTCTGAAAGATGCCTGACCATAAGATTCGACCCACGTGCTAGTAACTCCGAGTATAATGAGATGGGATTGAATGAGACAACATCCCTGTAATCTTCAAATGGCGTCCATTTGATGTCATCATGATTAGTACGATCAAGATACACCCGGTAAGGAGACACTTTGTGATTCCATCTATGGAGGACATACTTTGCAACCCTTGACATGTCACCAGTATAAATTGGATCTGGTTCAAAACCATGAATGCGGTGGAAGTGAGAGATTATCCAACTTTGAAACAACAATTAGATAATATGTAAATACAAATTATAAAAATCAAATTAAAGTTAATAATTAAAATGAAAGGTACTGTGAGGAGTGTGCAATAGTCAGTGAGCTTCTCATCCTCTAGTTTGAAGCTTCATTCAGCTTCTAATAGAGGTATACAAAAATAGAGGGGCCCTAATTCCACTCACGAATTGTACTCAGATCCATAAAATACCAGAGGTATGTCACATCTACATAGTAGGCACTTTTGTCCACAAAGAGAGACGTGCCAACCAAAAACATGAAGTAACTCTGTAAAACACAATCTCGGTGGCACTGTTCAACTTTGGATAGTAGAAATATAGGATTTGGAGTATAAATGTAAAGTGTAAGTTCCTTAATTTTAAGGATTGACATTAATTTTTGTAAAACAAATATAGTAGCAATATTTTAAATAGGAAGTATTAACTTGCTAACATGAACAGGTTGAGCAAGAAGTCTTATCTTATGTTAGGACATGTTGAGTTGAAGTGTTTCAACATCTAAAATAATATGTCAAATAAGATGTCCTATGAAGGAGCATACGACATCACGCTTGAGATGAAGTGGAATATTGGATTGTGTTATAATTTAACAGATGCAGAGTATTTTGAGAATATTATGCAATATTATATATCGCTGGTTTAAAGGTCAAGAAGAATCGAATTAAAATATTGAAGATTATGCAGTTTTTAAATATGGAGATATTTTAGGCAACTAATGATTGAAGACCTTGTTTGTAGCAGAAGTTACTGTTATTTATAACAACCAAAGAGTTGTAATTTGAAGGTCCAAATCCAATTGGGTATATGTTATAAATAAAAGTCTTTGTAACCTAGGAAAGGCATGGGTTCAAGATGTAGAAGTCTAGGGATTTGTATTTGTGCTGCTCTCTAGGAGAGTTGGTATGTGTGAACCACTCAGGTTGTGAGATGGTCTATGTGTTCTCACTCAGAAGCTGTGAAGTAATGATTTGAGTATTGTTCTTGGAGGAAGCTTTGAAGCAACTCCAAGTTGTGTTCTTAGTCAAGAGTCTTGGCTAGGTAGTTTCATGGAAGTGTGTCTTCCTGTTTGTTCAGAATTGTTTGTGTTGATCCAATCGTTGTGTGTGATTGAAGAGGGATTGAGGAGGGCCTCATATCTAGGTGAGTCCTAGATAGAAATATAGAACGGGTATTTATTAAGTGAGAAGTTATAAACAAGGGAGTTTAGCTTCGAATTGATACTATCATAGTGGATTTGTCCCTGGCTTGGTATGCCCACATAGTAGGAGAGTTGCTCCGAACTGGGTTAATAATTCTGGTGTGTTGTTTATGCTTTCTAGTATTGTTTTTAATTTTTATACCTTGCTTTCTTGTTTATGTTGGATCAGATGTGTTAACATGTCATAGGACCTCTGAATTTTGTCATACCAGAATTTCATAAAGTTTTTGTGTTTGAATAGAAATGAGTATGTTCTGTTCGTGGTTTTGAAAACAACAGGGTGACTTCGGATGTGCATCTCTAAAATTATAAACTATGGGGTGAATTCGAAGATGCACATACGAAGTCACCTTTTTTTTGACAAAATAAAATGACTTCGGATATGTACATGCGAACACACTTGTTATTGTCAAATACGGTTTGTTTGGATATGCATATCTGAAGTCTGGAGGTATTTTGGAATTTTTGCTAGAGGTCTAGAAGAAGTGCACTAGGTGTTAAAATAAACTCTCTATAAATTTGTGCCAATGTGTATAATCCTTAGGATAATCTTCAATTTAATTTTCCCGAACTCAAATTTGCTTAATTTACAAATATTAAATAGTATAAAATCAAATAAACTCTTTTCTTTTCTTCCAATTTAATCACAAGTTTAGGTTCGAAGTCAAACCTATACACACAACATTGTTAAATTCTCTTGATTGAGAGTGTTTTCATTTATTGTGGTACTCCCAAACTTAATAGGTTATTCTTTGTAATTGTACATAGAACATACTTGGTTTATACCAGAATAAAAAAACTCTTTGTTTAGTTAATTTATTTTATTACGTAAATTGTGTTGGAAGGTGATTTTTGAAGTCACTAGTATTTGGAGAGATATTTTGACTACTCTTATTTTCTATGTGGATGAGTTAGGATAAACTCTAAATCTAATATGATATTTTCATTGGTGTATTCGTAAAAACCTCATAAAAGATGGCGTAGGAAATTCACTAAGGGGAGGGACATAATATACTGCCGCTATCAGCTTACTAGCCGCCCATTGGAATGAGTACTTGTCATTTGGTTATGGCACTTATTTTCCACTCACATGCCTTTATGTGAAAACAATGAGGTGATGTGTCCATATTCATAACGATATGGTGGAGGATGTTAAAAAGGGAAGTCGCATTCCCCATAATAATATGGGAGATAAGTGATTGTTTCTCACACTCCTAAGAGTGGGATTTAATTTCTTGGCACCTTAGATCTAGGCCCAAGAGGTTCTTATAAATACCTAGACCTTAAGGTTGGTCGATAAAATTCATTCCACCTATAAAACACCAGTATACAAAGCTTTTTGCTACCTCGCGTGACATTTCTCTAACATTGTAACAACATTACAAACCTATGACAACCCTACATCATAAGAGGTTGTTACATATTATACTTTTAAAAAGTAAAATTGAGGCCCATTATAGGGTCCAATAAAACTGACTTGAGCCACCACCGCATCATTTGGTTAGACTAATACCCATGACTGCAACCTCTTTATCCATCATGGTAAATAAGGATGCCATGCTAACTCTGGCCAAAAGTGAGTCTGGTGATGATGAGGGTGCCATGGAAGAAAGGTGCACTGACATGGATGAATTATGTCGCCAAAAACCAAACTCTAGAGAAGAAGAAAATCCTCGACCCCTAACCTCTCTCTAATG